CATTCAATGAGCTTTAATAATGCTGCTCCTAAAAGTCCTTATATGAGAAATAAAACCAGACAGAAATGAGCCAATAGTTATTAAATTAGAGCTATAGAATAATATCTTTAATTGCAGACACTGGTATCTTGGCAAATTTGAGCACAGTATGAGACATTAACTCTTAGAAACGTCCTGAAAGACAGTGTGTTAATATGAAGGAATTTAATGTATTTAGTGTTTTTTTTTTTTTACAGTGTTTACTTGTATTTTAAATTATGCATTGCACTGTGTTGTATTTTAAGGTTAATGGAAATGTTTTTAAACTTAACAGCATAAAATTACCAGTTCCTTTTCCGTTTTTATACAGCATTTTTAGTTACTTGTGAGATTACTGGGGTTGTTTTCTGAGACGCAGAAGCTGGATTCACAAAAATAAATAAATAAATATTAAGAGGTTCTTAAGAACATATTTGAGAACTTCATAATTAAAAAAAAATGCACTTAGGAAAATTATTACAGAGTTCTAGGAATTTATTTTAAGTAATTCATTAACTTCTTTATTAAGAGGATTTTTGTGAATCCGACCCTAGGAGACTTATGCAAATGTCTCTATGTAATTATACTTAAAAAACACAACAATTTCTAACAATTGAGGAAATGAAATAAATGAGTGACGCACCATGAACTTCTGAAGTCATTTGCAGGTTCAGGCACGAATGTCATGATAACTGAGAAATAAAAACCTGAATGACAATTATTGACTCATCTGTAACTAGTTATGTTTTATTTAAAGGGGTGGTTTAGATTTCACTTTTTTAACGTTAGTTAGTGTGTAATGTTGCTGTTTGAGCATAAACAATATCTGCAAAGTTACGAAGCTGAAAGTTCAATGCAAACGGAGATATCGTCTTTTAAAATTCTGGCAGTTTAATGCCTACAAAAACGGCTGGTAGAGACTACAACAAGTTACTTCCCGGGTTCGTGACATCACAAACCCAGATAAACCCCGCCCTCGGGAAAAGGCAGCAAAGGGGGCGAGGCCTGCGCTGCTTTAGAGAAGAGGAAGAGAAAACTAGAGGTGCACGTAAAAATCGATTCAATTATGAATCGCGATTCTGTCTTCTAACGATTCTAATGGATTCCCAAGTTTCAAAATCAATGTTCTAAAGCAGCGGGTCTCAATACTGTTCCTCACGTCCAGCAATGGATGCTCTGCAGTGAATGGGTGCCGTCAGAATGAGAGTCCAAACAGCTGATAAAAACATCACAATAATCCACAAGTAATCCACAGCACTTCAGTCCATCAGTTAATGTCTTGAGAAACCAAAAACTGTCAATTTTAACTTTAAACCAAAACCTAAAAAGTCCATAATAACGTTTTTCTCTATATGCTTCTCTTTAAGTCTCCTGAGCTCTGAGCAAAAACATTTTCTTCCAGAAACAGCTGATAAAAACATCACAATAATCCACAAGTAATCCACAGCACTTCAGTCCATCAGTTAATGTCTTGAGAAACCAAAAACTGTCAATTTTAACTTTAAACCAAAACCTAAAAAGTCCATAATAATGTTTTTCTCTATATGCTTCTCTTGAAGTCTCCTGAGCTCTGAGCAAAAACATTTTCTTCCAGGAAAAGCTCGACTCTTGGCTTTGTGTTTTTTCTGACGGCACTAAACTAAACTCAGATTAGTAATCCATGATTTCTGTACAAATACACCTGCTGTCCAGGTGGGAAATGTGCAAGCAGTACTGACGATGCTCAGGGGTATAAACACCAGTGTGTGTGTGTGTGTGTGTGTGTGTGTGTGTGTGTTGAGCTCTAAAACTCTAATGAGAGGTTGTTTCTCTGGCCATTATCCCAGTCTGATTCACTACAGCTCCGAAATCAGTCTATTTTCCTATAAATGTTTAAGAGTATGTTTAATATTTTGGCGAACAGTGTGACAGCATGAACAAAAACTGTGAATCCCCTGCACGTCCATTAAGAACATATTCAGCTCATATTATAAAATAAAATAAGACATTCACATAATTTTAAATATATATGTATATATATATATATATATATATATATAGGTGCAATTTCGTGAGATCGTCATAACCCATGCGGTAAAAAATATATATTTGCAAATATATTTTTAAATATATATTCCTAAAATATGTTTTGAGATGATTGCATCGGCTGTGGGGATGAAGACCACAACTCCCATGATTCCACACTCAGTCACGGCATCATCAAACTACGCCTTTGTCTCTTTGTTTATTTTGAATACGCGCCCTCTAGTGGTGAAAAATTACATATTGTGCCTTTAAGTAATTAATATATAAATATAATTAATATAATAAATTACATACATAAATATAAATACATATATAAAGTATTTATACATCATAGTATTTATTGCAAGTATAAATTACATAAATTGCATCTGAATACATCTAATTCTTTTCCATATTGATTTTTATTGATTTTCACCTGTATTTTGTGTGTGTGGATATATACTATATATACTTTTTTTTTTACCTACTTTTTTTATCTTTATTTGGTCTGATATGTTATCTTGACACCCGTTTTGATGAGAATCACCCATTAAACTGAATGTTAAATTGCTAAGTGTGACTAAATTAGACATAATACAGACACATACTCATCAGATTCAGGATCAGTGAAAACAACAAGAAGAACAGCAGAGCACTCAACTTTGACTCGTTCTGTGGTGTATAAATGCTAAACACACACTTTCAGAGCAGCTCACACACACGTCAGCAGGGATCAGGCCTTCACCGCAGCTTCATCTGAATGTCAGCTGAGCTCACTGTATGTTTATTGCTCTGGTCTTCTGGCTGGTCTTGGCAGCATCTCTCTCTCTCTCTCTTCTGGGATGTTTCCATTACTCACCTCTGAAGTCTGCGGGGCTGAGCGCAGTGAGCTCCAGTTCAATCTGATGGCTGCCAGTCGCTTCTGTGATAAGATGGAAAATCTGGTTATGCACTAGAGTTTGCAGTTATTTTTAAATGACTCATCAAGTCTAACATACCTCAGTCATGAGAGCTTTTCTAACTGGACTTGCTTTTTCTTGGATTTTCTTGTATAAAACTTTTAAATTTGAGCAGCGATCCAAGAACAAAAGTTTGTTGCTTTGGTTTCTTTTTCA